ATGGCCTCATTCTATCTAATGTGTTTGCTCTTGCAGATACCACTTACAGATGTACTGTGTTTTCTATCTCCCTGGTTTTTTTACATGGAAAATATTTGAATTAGGCTAGCACATAAACACACTGTCTAGGAACAGATTCATGGGGGGAGGAGGAGAAAACAGTGAGACAGATAGAGCAGTTGACTGAATATCTATTATTCTGCATTGCAACACTGAAAAAAATGAGTAATGCATCTCCTTGTGGACGTTTTATAAGGGTCATTTTATAAAGGTGAGACTGCAAAATTTCTCTTGGTTTTATTACTCCTATTAGCATAGAATTATCTATTACCTAATCCTAAAGGAACTATAATTTGCCTTTAATTTATAATGCATTTTTGCATGCAATCCAAATAGCTTTCAGGGTACACTTAACAGATAGCCATATTAGATTGTACAGACCTTGTTTTTTCCTTCATCCGAGAGTCATGTCACTATATGACCTGACCCCACTGCCCAGTCACTGCTTGCTGTGGAAGAATTATCAATAACCAGTTGAAAGGCTAGTAACATTAGCACATGCTTCTGCATAGTAGTTAGCCCTGAAAGTGTTTGTAATAGTATATAATTTCTTCCTCTTCTTGCCCTAATACCTATTGAAAGGGCCAGAAGGAAAATTTTGTCTGACATTTTGGACATTTTGTCCATAGAGTTTGAGTAAAGCCTTTTAGATTTCAGTGTTCTTTATATGTTAAAAACGTGACAGACAAGACGACTTCTTGCTTTTTTGTTAAGTCAGCTGGTAATTTAGGTTTGACTGGATATAAATAATCTCAGATTTATTTGTGCTATTGTATTGCCCAGAATAATAATTATGGTCCAAGACAACATGCACTACATACTGAAAAATAATTTAAAAAAAATAAATGGATAATGCTTTCAGTACTGCTGTGATAAGACTGAGTTGTAGCAAGACTATTGCAATTGTCCTTACATTCCAGTACGTAATTGGTAGCCATTACAAGCCTGTTTAAACTGCAAAAAGTGAGTAAAATGGCTCCAGGGTACCACTTTGCCCCTTAACCTCAGCCTGCATTTGAGTATTGGCAGGCTGAAGGATTAGCAGAAACATGGTTAGAATCTGTTTAGGGTGGAAAAATACGAGTAACCTTGACACCATACAACTGAGGTGATGGATTTGTCAACAGTGCAGATCTGCTTTAAATGCCAGGTAGAGTTGTTGCAAGCTAGAGGAAATCTCAGGCACTTCCCTGGTGGTACCTAAAATCAAATTCTGGAAAAGTGTAATAACATTTTTGTAATATTGTAAAAATACACTGCACAGTGAAATAATGCCGAAATTCAAATTGTCTCCACCCCAACAATAGTAATCAGGGATGTGCTATCCAATACTTTTGCCCTGACTGCCTAATCACGGTTTTATTTATTAATATAATCCATTATTTACATAGTAACCTTGTTGGACGGCCCTTCTCAGGAAAACTCCCTGTAAAGTTAAAAATTTCTCGGATAGGGAATTTCAGAAAGAAACAATCAGCGACACAAACCGGTTAGGGAAGCGAGGGAAGAGGATGGAGCGGGCTGAGCAGCCCGAGGAAGGGGCTCAGGCTCCCTCTCCAGGACACGGATGTTAATTACAAATAAATCCTCCAGTTCTGCTGCACCTTCAGTCTTCGGGTGTGCAAAGGAGCAAACCTCCAGTGCTACAGTGCTACAGGCACAAGACCAGGACAAAAAGATCTTCGATGTAAGCTTAGTCTAGATAGGAAAAAAAAAAAAAATAT